CCACCAGCTCTGGTGTATGTGGCTGGCACCTTAGCCACTTGAACTACAGGCGCCGAGCCATTTATTTTTGTTGCAGTTGTTGTTCTTTTAGCAGGCCCAGGCGGGATTTGAACTCGCCACCTCCAGTGTATGTGGCTAGTGCCCAACCTGTTAAGCTATGGGCACTTCTTCTTTTTTTTTTGAGACAAAGTCTCAGGCTGTTGCCTTGGGTAGATAGAGTGCTATGACATCACAGCTCATAGCAATCTCAAACTCCTGTGCTTAAGCAATTCTCTTGCCTCAGCCTTCCAAGTAGTAGCCTGCCACAATGCCTGGCTTTTTAAATTTTTTTTGTAGTTGTCATTGTTGTGTTAGTAGGCCTGGGCTGGAATTGAACTGCCAGCTCTGGTGTATGTGGCTGGTGCTCTACCCACTGAACTATGGGCACTGCCCATCCAGAGCCTTTTCTTGATGATAGGTGAGAAATACATATGAAAAAAATTGGGATACTTTGGCCCAATAATTATCCAATAGCTCTAGGATTTATCACTGCTATGCATAAAGATATAACAAAAAATGTGTTTATCATAGTATTTTTATAATAGTGAAAAATTAAAAACCACAAAGTTTTCCAAAATAAAGCACTGCTATAATAATTTCTAAGATTCTAATATACTGTACAGTGGCATGTAATATATTATAGTATTTAAAAGTAATGTAGAATAATACTTAATGACATGTAAAAGTAAATTTGACATATTAAGAAAAATAAAATAAATGCAAAACAGCTGGTTGTTTATTAAAATCCTGTAATCCTAGCTTCTTGGGAGCCTAAGGCAGGAGGATCATGTGAGATCAGGTGTTTGAGACCAGCCTGAGCAAGAGTAAGATCCCATATTAAAGACAGAAAACATTAGCTGGATATAGTGGCGCATGCCTGTAGTCCCAGCTACTTGGGAGGCTAAGGCAGGAGGATCACTTAAGCCCGGGAGTTTAAGATTACTGTGAGCTATGATGACGCCACTGCACTTTACCCAGGGCAACAGAGCAAGACTCTATCAAAACAAAAAAAGTTAACTGTTTATTTTAGTGTGTGGGGATTATGACTATGATTTATTTATTTACTTCTCTGTGATTTCTATGCATAAATTTTATAATAGGAAAGCTATTTTTAAAATAATGATTGATTTTAAGCAGCAACTTGTGATGTATATACTTTGGTTCTAAGTATGCTCTGTCTGTATACATTTACTTGTTCAGTGATTCTCCAGCAACAACATAAAATGTCTAATGAAAGAAACTAAGGAAGTTGTGGGTGGAGTGAATTAGATTTATGGCTTGAAGTGAGAAAAAAGTGAGAAACTAAAAAGACAGCTTTTAAGAAAAGTTAGGGCTAAGAAACTTTCTTTTGTTATATTACAAGTTTTTTTTTTTTTCCTTTTGAGACAGAGTTTCACTATGTTGCCCTGGGTAGAGTGCTATGCCATCACAGCTCACAGCAACCTTAAACTCTTGGGCTTAAGTGATTCTCTTGCCTCAGCCTCCCAAGTAGCTGAAACTACAGGCAGCGCCCAATGCCCAGCTATTTTTTGGTTGTAGTAGTCGTTGTTTGGCAGGCCTGGGCTGGATTCAAACCCGCCAGCTCCTGTGTATGTAACTGGTGCCCTAGCCGCTGAGCTACAGGCACTGAGCCTGTTTTATTACAGTTTTAAAGCTGAAATTACTAATATAGAATATGATTATTTGGTAAAGTCTGTGTTACTATGATTTTAAGAATTGAGAATTATTACTAAATTAAAAATAGGTGCTAACCCGTCTAAATGCTGTTGTTGTTGTTCTGGAAAAGATAGCTAAATAAGATAAGTAAGGTGTTAAAATATGAGTTAAAATACTGCTTGCGGTAGATCTGTGTTCATTTAAATGTCCTTTTCCCAAAAAAATCATTGCTGGTAGATGTCCAAATGAGATTGGTTATTTGGTATAGCAGTTAATTGTGATCAATTGTGACTACTTGGGAGGCTGAGAAATCTTTAGAAAAGATTTTATTAAAATTATCTCTATCTTATCCTGCTGCCTTGATGCAACATTCATATTTTATCTCTTTATACCCAAATTCTTTAGCAATAAAAGTTATACTTAACAGATTTGATCAGATCAATCTATTTAATCTGATTCTCAGCCTGGGCTTTTTAGTAACTTGTGTTTTTATTTATTTTTTGTTTCAGATTATATCTGGGAATTTAAATATCTTTTTGTTCAGCGCAATTGCCTACTAGAAAACCTAGAATTGCATACAACACCATGGTCATCCTGTGAGTGCTTGTTTGACGATGATATAAGGGCAATTACATTTAAAGCAAAATTTCAAAAAACAGCACCCTCCTCTGTGAAGATGTCAAACTTAGCAACCCACCTACAGGAGAAGTGTTCAGGTAAGATCTTTATATTTATAAAATATGGCTAGTTTTAGTGTGAGCAAAATGGCTACCATTTTTGTGGTGAAAAATGTATAATTCAATATAAAAATGAAATATAGATCTTGCAAATAGCTGAACCAGATAATGACAACTTCTTAGCCTTTTGCTTCTGATCTTTTGAACTTAATTGTTGGTAACTATTAGAGATCACTTAAAAATATTTTTTGTGATTGGGCGGCACCTGTGGCCCAGTGAGTAGGGCGCCAGCCCCATATACTGAGGGTGGCGGGTTCGGACCCAGCCCTGGCTGAACTACAACCAAAAAATAGCCAGGCATCGTGGCACGGGCGCCTGTATCCCAGCTACTCAGGAGGTTGAGGCAAGAGAATCGCTTAGGCCCAGGAGTTGGAGGTTGCTGTGAGCTGTGTGATGCCACGGTGCTCTACCAAGGACAACAAAGTAAGACTCTGTCTCTACAAAAAAAAAAAAAAATTTTTTTTTTGTGGGGCGGTGCCTGGTGGCTCAAAGGAGTAGGGCACTGGCCCATATGTCAGAGGTGGCTTGTTCAAACCCACCTCCTGCCAAAAACCAAAAGAAAAAAAAATTTTTTTTGTGGGTTGTGCCCAGTGGATAGGGCTCTAGCCCATACACCGAGGCTGGCGGGTTTGAACCTGGCACAGGCCAGCTAAAACAACACTGAGAAAACAATAGCAACAACAACAAGAACTATATACATATAGTGTGTATGTATAGTTATTATCAGCTTATCATTTGACAAGCCAAAAATAGAAAAATAACCTAATGACCTTGACCAGAGTCACTATTTGAGGTGAACACCTTAAGAAGTCTCTAAGCTGTCATCTAGACATGGTTAGTAAGATTTAACATTGATAACAGAATCTGTGAGATTGGCCTGGTGAGATGGCTCATGCCTATAATCCTAGCACTCTAGGAGGCCAAGGCTGGTGAATTGCCTGAGCTTCCGAGTTTGAGACCAGCCTGAGTCAGAGCGAGACCTTGTCTCTAAAAATAGCTGGACATTGTAGCAGGCTCCTATAGTCCCAGCTACTCTGCAGGCTGAGGTAAGAGGATTGTTGAGCCCAAGAGTTTGAGGTTGCTGTGAGCTATGATTGCACTGCACTCTATGGAGGACGATTCTTATCTCCCCACCCAAAAAACCTGTGAAATTTACTTACTGCTTTGTAAAATGTAATTGCTTACATCCTGAACTCAAATATGTATATGTGTGTGTATAAAATTCATCCTCAAAAGTATACTGCGTACAGGGGCGGTGCCTGTGGCTCAGTCAGTAGGGCGCTGGCCCCATATACCGAGGGTGGAGGGTTAGAACCTAGCCCCCACCAAACTGCAACAAAAATAGCCAGGTGTTGTGGTGGTCGCCTGTAATCCCAGCTGCTCGGGAGGCTGAGGCAAGAGAATTGCCTAAGCCCAGGAGCTGGAGGTTGCTGTGAGCTGTGACGCCACAGCACTCTACCCAGGGCGACAAAGTGAGACTCTGTCTCAAAAAAAAATCATACTGCATAGAATACCTTTTTTGTTTTTGAGACAGAGTCTCAGGTTGTTGCCCTTTTTAGAGTGCTGTGGCGCCACAGCGCACAGAAACCTCAAACTCTTGGGCTTCAGTGATTCTCTTGCCTCAGCCTTCCAAGTAGCTGGCACTACAGGTGCCCACCACAACACAGAGCAATTTTTTTGTTGCAGTTGTCAATGTTGTTTAGCAGGCCCAGGCTGGGCTTAAATCTGCCAGCTTCAGTGTATGTGGCCAGTGTCCTACTCACTGGGGTACGGGCACTGAGCCATAGAGTACCTTTGATTATAAATATTATAGACATACATCCTTTATATTAATTAAATATAATTTAAGTGATTTGTTTTGAGTGAAGTAGCAAAATGCTATAGACTTGGAATGAAAAGAGAGTTCATTAGTGAAAATAAGTAGATAAATCTTAAAATTTGAGTGGGAAATATGTTCCAGGAAATTACAATGGCTTCCTAACTACAGTGATAGTGCTAGACTGCCAAACTGATTTCCAAAGTAGTTGTATCATTTTA